TGTGGTCCTTCTGCTGGTCTCTACTCCTGCTGTGGTCCTTCTGCTGGTCTCTACTCCTGCTGTGGTCCCTCTGCTGGTCTCTACTCCTGCTGTGGTTCCTCCACTGGTCTCTACTCCTGGTCTCTACTCCTGCTGTGGTCCTTCTGCTGGTCTCTACTCCTGCTGTGGTCCCTCTGCTGGTCTCTACTCCTGCTGTGGTCCCTCCACTGGTCTCTACTCCTGCTGTGGTTCCTCCACTGGTCTCTACTCCTGCTGTGGTCCTACTGGTCTCTACTCCTGCTGTGGTCCTTCTACTGGTCTCTACTCCTGCTGTGGTCCTACTGGTCTCTACTCCTGCTGTGGTCCTTCTGCTGGTCTCTACTCCTTCTGTGGTCCCTCCACTGGTCTCTACTCCTGCTGTGGTCCTTCTGCTGGTCTCTACTCCTGCTGTGGTCCTACTGGTCTCTACTCCTGCTGTGGTCCTACTGGTCTCTACTCCTGCTGTGGTCCTTCTACTGGTCTCTACTCCTGCTGTGGTCCCTCCACTGGTCTCTACTCCTGCTGAGGTCCTTCTACTGGTCTCTAATCCTGCTGTGGTCCCTCCACTGGTCTCTACTCCTGCTGTGGTCCTTCTACTGGTCTCTACTCCTGCTGTGGTCCTTCTACTGGTCTCTACTCCTGCTGTGGTCCTTCTACTGGTCTCTACTCCTGCTGTGGTCCTTCTACTGGTCTCTACTCCTGCTGTGGTTCCTCCACTGGTCTCTACTCCTGCTGTGGTCCTTCTGCTGGTCTCTACTTCTGCTGTGGTCCTACTGGTCTCTACTCCTGCTGTGGTTCCTCCACTGGTCTCTACTCCTGCTGTGGTTCCTCCACTGGTCTCTACTCCTGCTGTGGTTCCTCCACTGGTCTCTACTCCTGCTGTGGTCCTTCTACTGCTCTCTACTCCTGCTGTGGTCCCTCCGCTGGTCTCTACTCTTGCTGTGGTCCCTCCACTGGTCTCTACTCCTGGTCTCTACTCCTGCTGTGGTTCCTCCGCTGGTCTCTACTCCTGCTGTGGTCCCCCCGCTGGTCTCTACTCCTGCTGTTGTTCCTCCACTGGTCTCTACTCCTGCTGTGGTTCCTCCACTGGTCTCTACTCCTGCTGTGGTTCCTCCACTGGTCTCTACTCCTGCTGTGGTTCCTCCACTGGTCTCTACTCCTGCTGTGGTTCCTCTACTGGTCTCTAATCCTGCTGAG